AGATGCCGAAAAACGTACAATTTAGAGAAAAACGAAAACAATAGGTTGAATGCCTAAAGGCATTCACCCAATTAAATGGCAGCAGTCCAAATTAAAATTTTGCTAAAACAAAATTAAACAAGTCGTTTTATGTCCTTGTCATAATGATCCCATCATATGTATCTACCAGCAAACATATTGCTAAAATGTTGTAAAGAATGACATAAAGTCAATATAGTCATTTTAAAGACACAAAGTTTTATTTTATTTTCTCAAATGCTCAATAAATGAATAATAAAACATCTCTGATATATTTAAATAGAAAAGCTTCTCTGTGACCCCGACACTGTTACAGCCCTCAGGCTACAAAAGCATCACATGATAGCAATGTATGATAAGTGAGGAACTTCACTTATCTAGTCAGACTAATCAGTTAAAGTTGCCATTTAAAGCTGTTTATTGTTGGCAGTGACATTGAGGAGTAAGAATACACAAGCTTTCTGAAACCAGAAACTCTTCTTCTACTCTTATCAGGACTAACATCCTTCAGAGTTGACTTTTCCCCCCAAAGCTGCCCCTCATCGGAAACAATAGAAACCTTTTTTTTTTTATTATAAAATCTGAACCTAATCTTTCATTCAAATCCTGAATGATCTGAGCTAGCAAGCAGTGTTAAATAATCACCAAATCTCTCTCTCTCTCTTTTTTTGTTCCTCTCGATTGCGTAGTTGTGCTTTTCCTCGTTCTGTTGGCTGAAACAGACATTCCAGATTTGTTCCTCAACAAGCCATTGTGCAGCAGATATTAGTAGGCTAGAGGTCAGAGATGATGTAACATTTGAGTTTTCATGATTTAGTTCCTGAAATTCTTTTTAAACCAACATGTGCCTCTGTGGGCATGGGAAACACTTGATACCATGCTGAACTTTAAATTGACTGGCTTTGTATCATTTCTATAATCAGACAAAAGGCAGACATCAACACACTGACATGTTTCTAATAATTCTCTACATGTTTCGATCAAGTTTTTTTGTTTTAATTGAGGTCTATCTCTCACCAACTCCTATTCATCATCAGTTCTACTATTCATCTCATTTTGAATCATTACTTTGTCTACATCTGCATATTTATCGTAATTGAATCCCACTCAGTAGTCGGCGAGCAAACACTGGTAGTGTTAATGGGTTATTGATTCAGTCCTGGACCAGCTCGTCTATGAGATAATAGTGAACATGTCAGAAGCAATTTATTCCCCTGATCTCATGAGGATTATCCATTCAGGAAACTGAAGACTTCAAACCTTCTTACTGTGTCCCCCCCACACACACACTTTTCTTTGAATGAGGCAGAATATTTTTTGAATTGAAAGTTGGACTACAGGAGCAGCTGTGGGATGCATGCAGCAGTGAGGAGTAGGGGTGTAAGAAAATATCGATACACTGAAATATCGCGATATTTCATTTCCCCGATACTGTATCGATATTCTAAAGCCCTGTATCGATTTTTTATTAAGGTTTAAAATGTTAACTTTCCTGCCAGCCGTTCATTTTTATGTTGTAGTTCAGCCTCTGACCACTAGTTGGCAGCAGTGAGCCAGACATTCGGCTCCTC